AATGTACACAAATTTATAAATAAATTGATTTTGGGTTCTATGATCACTCTCATAACTAATTTCAAAATGAGACCAACACTATATTAGCACGCCGGAAGTTCTCACTATTCTTCCCTCTCCAATTCCTTTTTATTAACAAGGGAAAGAGGGTAACTCGGGGACACAAAATTTATAATTATATACTGAACAACATAACATTGACACAACTTGATATTGTATAAATTAACTGACAAATAAGAGAAAACATTTGATTTTCTGAGTCTAGTTTGCTTTTCTCAGCATGATGAGTTTTAAGATTGCAGCTTCTTTTGTTTTTTTGCAGTGTTAGGATTCATTCTTTTTGTGGCCAAAAAAGTCCATTATTTATGAGTCACATTTTCTCTATTCAACATCAGTTGATGAACACCTAGGTTAATCCGTATCTAAGCTATTGCAATTCCTGCTTCTATGAACAGGTGAAAGAGATGCTGATAGTGATAATGAGGTGAAGATGATATTGCTGGTGGGTGGGAATGGTGGTAATAGTAACAAGGATGGTGATCATTGTGTCATTGAAGTCTCCGCCTTCCACTTCAAAATCAAAGCACTTTTAGCACCAAGTGGCACAAACCTCATTTTATGATTTTTTAAAAAAAAGGATGGCTAGAACATTGCTTAATTTGCCCCAAGCCTTAGCTAACTCATCATGGACTCATCAAATCCTTAAAACCATTGGCATTACACAAAGAAACATCTATGATAAAGTCGGGATTTAGAGACAGTAAGCACTTTGCCTTAGTTTCATTGTTTGATAAAGGGAGGAGTCTATTCATATTCCAATCCAGGGTGTCTGCCCCAAACCCTGTGTGCTAACCAGCATAGAGTGGAGCAATACTGCTTGTCAGGTACGAATTTAGACATCTGTCTATCTCGATCAGTGGTCTCTCACATGGTCAAACTATGTCTTGATCTCCACCAGCATTGGTAGGATATGTATTCAGTTAAAACAACGAGGGAAGTGATCTTATCAATCTGTATTAGGAACACATTTTAGTGTTCAAAATTATTATCAGAATTTCCAAAAATAAGACACTATGAGATTAAACCACCATATGCAGATGCAATTTTTTTTTTTTTGCACAACTGATTAAATTGGGTTATTTGGTACATGTCACCAACTAATGGGCTCAGGGTCTCATTCATTCTTGTTAGAATTTTCAGGAACATGCTTAAAATAAAAACCCTGTGTCCCTATGATCTCAGGAAGCTGCAAGGAGTGGGATAAGGAAGCAAGGGAAAACAGGCACATTGTTCCATTTCCAAACCGAGTTTGAAATATGCTGTGCTTCTGGGAAGAAATTTTTAAGTATATCAGGCCCATATTGTGTCCTTTGGTCTAAAATGTGCAAAGAAAATGAAAGTGTCTACAGCCATACCACCCTGGACACACCCGATCTCGTCTGAAAAAGTGTTACAGAACCCTAAATGCTTACAATCATTGTATAATTCAGAGGCAGGTTTTTCAAAAGCAACACTAGTAAAATTTCAAACCAGATAATTTCTTATTGTGGGAGACGTATTGTCCTTCACACTGATGCTTTGAAGCAGCCTGTGTCTTGGTGACAACAACAGCATCACTGCCTCAACCAAAACCCTTGAGGCACTGCCAAATATAGTCTGAGAGCTAAAATAGTGCTCCAGTTGAGAACCGCTGGTCCGGACAAGTCTTGGTGATCTTTAAAATATGTTAAAATACTTGATTTATGGGCAAATCTCTAAAGGAATATATTTTTCCTATAAAAAGCAGATATTTTATAGGTTTAATGGCAGACTCTTACACCTAAAAGCTAAATCCATTTTCTTCATGAGCTCTACCTGCACATCCTTCAATCACAGTGACAAACAACACATAGTTCTCATTGTGTGTGTGTTAATCCACACCTTTCATGCAGAACATGAACTCACTTTAGCAACTTAAATAATAGATGATGTCCTTAGGCCCTCTTGTGGTAAAAACCAGTAACAAAAATCAGAGCAGAATAAAAAATGAAACTAGAAGAACAAGAAAATAAACACTAGTAATAATGGAGTAGTTAATATATCAAACTGCTTCCTCATATAAAAAGTATCATTTCCCATCTAAGAAGCAGGGGATGGAGTCCACAAAATAATTGCTAATTGTGCAAGACATTACAAGACTAGATCAAAAAAATCTTTAAAACTAGTTGGTTGCTTCATACATCAAACATCAAAAATCAGTAGGTTGCAGGGGGAGCAAGGATATTTTATAAAAATTTTTAAGACATATTTATCTTTATTGGAAAGTCAGATTTACAGAGAGAAGAGACATAGAGAAAGATCTTACCATCTGCTGGGTCACTTCCCAAGTGACAGCAATGGAGCTGAGTTGATCCGAAGCCAGGACCCAGGAGCCTCCTCTGGTCTCCCAAGCAGGTGCAGGATCCCAAGGTTTTGGGTGGTCTTCCACTGCTTTTCCATAACACAAGCAGAGAACTGAATGGGAAGTAGAGCAGCTGGGACACGAATCGGTGCGCCTATGGGATCCCAGCGCATGCAAGTAAGGACTTTAGCCACTAGGCTACCACACAGTGCCCAAGAATATTCTAAGAAAGAAAATAGTGCTTGGTAAAATACCTGTATGTACTGAAAGAAAAATTGGACTTTTGGGTTTTTTGTTTCATTTTGTTTAAAGATTTGACTATTTTTATTTGAAAGGCAGCTTTTACAGAGAGAGAAGGTGTTCCATCCACTGGTTCACTTCTCAAATGGCTGTAACGGCCACAGCTGAGCTGGTGTGAAACTGGAAACCAAGAGCTTCTTCTTTGTCTCCCACATGGGCAGAGGGTCTCGAGAACTTGGGCCATCTTTGCTGCTTTCCCAGGACATAAGCAGAGAACTGGATTAGAAGTGGAGCATTAGAGACATAAATCAGCACCTATATGTGATGCCATTGTCACAGGACAGAGGATTAGCTTGCTGTACACCACACCGACTCACAAAAAAAGTGATTTTTGTAAAACTAGATCTTTATTTTTACTCTGGCTTTGAACCTACAAACTAACATACTTCATTTACCTGTTAGAGTCTGAATCTACAAGCATAATCAAAATTAATTAATAAGCTAAATTATACAGCTAAAAAACCTTTCAGCACAGCTCGAAGATGCCTTAAAAAGTAATAAAAAAGACAGACAGACAGAAAGACAGACAGAAAGAAAGAAAGAAAGAAAGAAAGAAAGAAAGAAAGAAAGAAAGAAAAAAAAGAAAAAAAGAAGAAAGAAAGAAGAAAGAAAGAGAAAATCTGAGTTCCAGGGATATAAAAAAATCATAGTAAAAACCAGCCATGTTTCCTAAGTTCTCATCTAACTTAGCCTATCACAAAAGTCAAATGTTTCTATGGAAAATAAAATAATACTGAAGGTGTTTATAAGGAAAAATAAATGTTTATGATTGCCTGTATTTCAAAAGTCAAAAGGGAAACAAGTTGAAGTTTTCTGACAACTGCAGATTCAATAGCAGTTCTAGGGTACTCAGGTATGAGGTATTTTATTTTCTATGTGTGCTTTTAAGCTAGTTCCCAATTTGTGTTCAATTTTCTTTGTGTATTAATTGGGTGGAACCATCGGAAAATGTCAGAGTTAACTATTCTTAATGTAATGATTCAACCAAATGTATGTTTTACCAGCTAAGGAATAAATGTCTTCAATATCTTATATATCATTATTTTTATATATATGAGAAATATTTTATTAAAAAGGTTCACAGATATAAAAAGTATACATAATTATGAGATGTCATGTGATGTTTGATACACTGACACATTATATAATATCCAATCATGGTAAACATAGCTACCTCCTCAACAATTAACATTTACAAATGGTAAAAATATATAAAATTCTATTACTTGGGTATATTAGTAGAGAAACATACCATACCTTAGTATTATCTTAATCAACCTGCTGGACAATAGGACACCAGAACTTCTTACTTCTAACTATGGTCCTTGGTAATCCCCTATCCATATGGTTTGTTTGAATTGCACCTAAGTATGTTCAGTCCTCCCGATAAAGAGAAATCTCAAAAAAAAAAAAAAAAGAGCCCTTTCAATCTTGCAGATGAAGACATGAAAACTCACAGAGTAAACAACCTACCCAACATCAAATCAAGCCACAGAATTGGGAGATCCAACCACAGGTTTCTAGACCCAGAATAAAGTATTTATGACTCAAAATGATATAGCATTTATGTTTCATTAATGCTTCATGATTTTTAAAATACTGCCAAAAAATGTATCCCATCTGACTCAAACATTGTGATCTGGTAAGATCTATAGGACTGGTGCTATCACATTGTACGTATTTGATATATATCTATATATTGTATATATGAGGACTCTAGTCATCAGTATTTTGCATCCATACATCGGATATTCCTTGCTTCTCCAGGTGTAAGCCATAATGCCAAGATCTGGGGCGCCAACGATGAATAGATCCTAAACACGTCATCACTTTTGTAGAGGATGAACATTTCCATGATTAACTATTACAGTGTGATACATGCTAAATAAATACTAATACAATGTGACAAATGATAAAAATGAGGTTTACTTACAGAGAGTTGTATGAGTGACAAGGGAAAACACTAATCTTTCTCAAGGGCGTTGGGAAAGTGTGTAAGAGGAATGACACTTGCATTATTCTTCACAAAAGTTTCCTTTGGTTGAAAATGATGGAACAATTCTTCAAGAAGAGGAAAAAGGGCATATTAATATGATAGTGCAAAATTTTCTAAGACAAGCTTCAGATGCTAAATAATTCATGAGGTCTCATAAGTGGTGAGTAGTCAGGCTGATAATGGGACTTTGCCTACTAGAGAATGCTTTCCTGGTGTAATGTTTTAAACATGCATGGCAGCATTTAATAAGTGGGATATTCTATGATGTAACACTTTCTTCATGTTCCCCTAATGCACGTATCATTTTATTCTGATATTTTCCAGTGTTTCAAGATGTACATGTTATGATATTTGTTGGATTTGGCTTCCTCATGACCTTCCTGAAGAAATATGGGTTCAGCAGCGTAGGCATCAACCTACTCATAGCTGCTCTGGGCCTCCAATGGGGCACTATCATGCAGGGGATACTGCACAGCCATGGACAGAAGTTTCAGGTTGGAATCAAAAAGTGAGCATCCTTGCTGTCATTTGAATGTTTTTGTTCCCCAATCCCCTGATAGTTCATATGACAAAATGTTAACCAACAAGGTCCATTAGCAGGTGAGACCTTTGAGTGGTTATTAAACCCCTCAGGAATGGGGTATTTAATGCTGTGCAGTACTGGTTCACACAGGCATGTTGCAATATCTCTGGTTTGACTTTAAGAATAGGAGAAATCCTCTTTCATAAAGCTACTATTGTTATATCTTGACTATAAGGAGCAAAAAAATCATGAATATATTTGATAATTTTCTAAATGTAAGCATGTGTTCTTGTGGTTGCAGTAGTAAATAATCATTCCAGAGAATCTATCCATTGGCAGAGCTATAGTGAACGACAGGTAAATTAAATTTTTCAAAATGGTAATGCATCGTAAGAGTCTATACAAGAGGCCCCAGAGAGATATTTTGTCTCCTTCCAACATGCGAGAATGGAGCAAAAAGGCACCATGTGTGAATTAGGAGGGAAGCTTCCACCAGACACCAAAGCTGTTAACATTGTATCCAGAACCTTCTAGCCTCCTGGACTGTGAGAGATAAATTTCTGCTGTTTATAAGCTACCCACTAATGGCATTGTGTGACATCAGTCCAAAGAGAAGAATATCATACAACTAACAGTTTTCAGATTATTTGTCTGCTTAGTCCTATGTCATTTGGGCTCTGTGCTAGCTGGAAATGGGTATGTTTTGGCAACAGAAGACTGTTGAAGCCACAAGACCCTAACCAACTCCTTGATCTGCTGAAAGGGATCACACATTCATGTTGTAACTTCTCTGATTTGACTTTGAATGCACGAGAAATCCTCCTTCCTAAAATTAACATTCTCTCCATCTCAGACATAGGGATCAAAAGTATGTCTTAAGAGATATTTTTGAAGATAATTTTTAAAATGCAAACCTGGCATTGTTACATCACGGCAAATAATCTAGGGAATTTCTCAATCAACATAGATGAAGTGAAGGGCAGGTAATTAAAATTATTATAAATGTTAAAGCAACTTAAAGAATGTATAGCCAAGAGGAGAAAGGAGGTGGGCAGAACTGAGGGAGGATGGGTAAACTGGGAGAAGAGCCTGAGGGGGGCTGATGGAGATGGACTTGTATTTTGGATAAAACAGGGCTGTCCTTCATCACCTCACAACACCTTTTTTATTTTTGCTGTGACTTACCTTTGGTTAACTCTTCCTTTTTCTTCTCAGCATGATAAACGCAGACTTCAGCACTGCCACAGTTCTGATTTCTTTTGGAGCTGTCCTGGGAAAAACAAGTCCAATCCAAATGCTGATCATGACAATTATGGAAATTTCTGTCTTTGCTGGTAATGAATATCTGGTCGGTGAGATATTCCAAGTAAGTATTAATCCATCCTTGCCTAGCCTTGGTAGAGAATGAGCACCCACTCCAATCACAGGCAAACGTGGCAAGAGTGGTAACATAGAAACAGTAATCACAGCTGTTGTCCACAGTGTTCCTATTACAAACCAAGTGTTTTATAAACATCTCACGGGCCCAGCGCGGTGGCGCAGTGGTTAAGGTCCTCTCCTGCACGCCTGGGATCCCATATGGGCGCCGGTTCTATCCTGGCAGCCCCGCTTCCCTTCCAGCTCCCTGCCTGTGGCCCGGGAAGGCAGTCGAGGACGGCCCAAAGCTTTGGGACCCTGCACCCGCGTGGGAGACCTGGAAGAGGCTCCTGGCTTCAGATCGGCATAGCATGGGCCGTTGTGCTCACTTGGGGAGTGAATCATCGGATGGAAGATCTTCCTCTCTGTCTCTCCTCTCTGTATATCTGCCTTTCCAATAAAAAGTAATAAAAATAAATCTTAAAAAAAATAATAATCAAAAAATAAATAAATAAACATCTCACTACATCTTCGTAAAAACAATGTTCAGGTAAATATTATTGCTATAATTTATACCCAATAATTGATGAACACACATGTTAAGTGATTTGTTACTTGCCTGAATATGGATTTAAGCCCAGGTAACGCCACAACTTTTTTTAATACAACATATTGCTTAGACTAATGTCTACTTATATCTCGAACACTAAGTTACTAACCTTTTAAAACATCTTACATAGCATTTTCTTAAGGTCCAGGTTAAATTTTTTGCCATCTATGAAAATTTCATGATTCTCTAAGGAATAATAAATAGAATATTTCTGGGAGCTCCAATATTATTTTGTTTACAATTCTACTGAGTAGTTAATTTGATAGCACATACTGTTAATGACTTTCTAGGTGCTTTGATGGAGTGACTAACAGGTAGTCTTTTATAGAACTTACAAGGCAGTGTTGGAGAAAGAAATAGCTCGATCAACTTACTAGAATCAGCACCAATGCTGGATGCCCACTGTTAAGTCCGTGGCTTTACTCTCTATGATACAATATCAGCCTTGATTTTTTTTTCTGTTTTTAGCTTGCTTTAAACCTTATTTCTTTGATACATTCTTTCTCTCTCCATGTTTGTGATTGTCTTACCAATGAAACAGTCATTTTCATGAAATTCCCTTTCATCTCTATTTACATGAATCACCTTTTGTTCTCTCAGGCCTCTGATATTGGAGCATCAATGACCATCCATGCCTTTGGAGCCTACTTCGGCCTGGCGGTAGCAGGTGTCCTGTATCGGTCTGGCCTGAGAAGGGGCCATGACAATGAGGAGTCTGTATACCACTCTGATTTGTTTGCAATGATTGGTGAGTGCAGATGTACTTGCCTGATCTTATTTCTATGGGCAGGAGTAAGAAAAATTAACATCAACACAGATACAAAGACACTGAACAAAGAACAAGCTTTTGATGCTGCTTTTTTTCATACTGGCTCAACACTTTTCTCGTAACTACTAAATAATCAGGCCTAAAAGTAGAGACATTTTTCATTGCCTCTAGGAAAGTTGAGTCCTGAAATGTCTTTTCTATTCACAACTAAAACTTCTTCTTGTGATTTGCTGCAGGGACTCTTTTTCTGTGGATGTTTTGGCCCAGTTTTAATTCAGCCATCGCTGAGACTAAAGACAAACAGTATCTGGCTATTGTAAACACGTACTTCTCTCTTGCTGCCTGCGTACTCACAACCTATGCATACTCCAGCCTTGTCCAGCAGCGAGGCAAGCTTGATATGGTAAGTGAAATTTCACTTACTGCAACTAAGCATTGCTGCTATAAGGAACTAACAAAACTGTAGACCTTGGGAATGTTTCTAGAGTTGATCTTAGCCAAAAGGCTGAGAAAAGCGATCGAATGTTTCTAAAGCAAGAACAATGAATTCATCAAATGTGTTCTTTGCGGGGGGGGGGGGGGGTGCGGAAACACAAAAATCATTCCCAAAGAGTTTACAATCTAGCAGCATACTTAGCTGTGGGAAAATGAAAGCAATGACATCTATTTCTTGATAAAGGTAACGGTTCCCAAGTTTCCTTATACAATGATTTTCAAAAAGTAGAAAAATAATAGAATCTTACACATCGGTGCTATTTTTCAACTACAATGATTTTTTCTAAGGATATGGGATCCTGAAAAGGACTTTGAGAGGAATACTGGTGAAATCCCAACAAAGTCTTTTATAGTGATGTACAGTCCTTTATTTTTTTGCTCTGAAAGGTACTAGCACTAGGGGGTCTAAAATATGGAAACTCTCTGCAGCATTTTGACAAACTTCCTGTGTCTAAGGTTAATTCTAACTAAAATATTATTAATCCACGTTAATCTCTTGTGTTTCTTAGCTGTGTACTGAAGAAATGCTAAACCAGTCACTCTACTAGTGTAACTAGGGATGAATAAATAAACATATTTATTTTTAAAGCATGACTGGGAGCTATGTACTTCAATTCTCTAGAAATTGTCCCATGAGAAATAATTAAAAGCAGTGAGAAAGCAAAATCATACCTATACAGCTCAGTGGTTCATTCTTTCCCTCTTAGAACAGGCAGAAAGTCATTTTTCTGAGTAATGTTGTTAAGTAGGTTCCTCTGTCCTCTATTTTCAAATGGTCTCAGTACAGAGAAACCTGCAAAAGCCAATGTCCTATACACCCAATGCACACGTTTCAGTTTCTACATTTCCCCGTGTGGATACTGGAATATCACTGATCTTATAAATATACACGAACCATATTTCTTCCTGGGTTTATGATAGCCAAGCATGTTTTTGAAGAACTTTGTCAAGAAGCGAAACAATAGTGGAATATTTGCTCTATAAACTCCCTCTCTGTCTAAAACTGGTGATTTTCTCTCACTACTGAAGAAGGAAGTAAGAGCCTATTGAAGTCTAGATCCCTGCAGTATTCTGAACCGTGCCTCAGTCACTCACCTCATTCATCTTGCTTCCTTCCATGTAGGTGCACATTCAGAATGCAACCCTTGCAGGAGGAGTAGCTGTGGGAACCTGTGCAGACATGATGATCCACTCATTCAGTTCGATGATCATTGGGGGCGTTGCAGGAATGGTGTCTGTGTTCGGCTATAAGTTCCTGACTGTGAGTAGGATGTAGGGTGGATTTTCTGAAACATACTTTAATCTGCACCACTATCTTCTCACATTACTCCAACAGGAGGAAAAAAAACTATGACATTTCTCTCCAAAAAATATATTTTTTTTCCTATTTGGAGGCCATTTGCTTTCTCTTTAAAAATCCTAGTCATATTTCTTTTTTAGATTTATTTTTTTATTATTATTTTTTCATTGGAAAGGCGGATATACAGAGAGGAGAGACAGAGAGGAAGATCTTCCATCTGATGATTCACTCCCCAAGTGAGCGCAACGGGCCAATACTATGCCGATCCGAAGCCAGGAGCCTCTTCCGGGTCTCCCACGCGGGTGCAGGGTCCCAAAGCCTTGGGCCGTCCTCGACTGCTTTCCCGGGCCACAGGCAGGGAGCTGGAAGGGAAGCGGGGCTGCCGGGATTAGAACCCGCTCCCATATGGGATCCCGGGCGTGCAAGGCGAGGACCTTTAACCACTTGCGCCACCGCGCCGGGCCCAAAAATCCTAGTCATATTTCAAAAGCCAGAGTTTTGTTCTTTCCCAACTTGTGTGTCACAGAAGAGAAGCTGATGTAAGTTGTTTGTAATCTAGCATCAATAGGAAGTTATTGACAGCTGCATTACTCTCTTTGGGACAGCCCCACCGGTGTTTTTGTTATTGTTGATGTTTGTTCCTTTTGTAAAGTTAAGGACTGTGCGGTCTTTCAATAGTTTAGGATGTAATCTGAAAACCCAAAGTGGGACTTGAAATCACTCTTTCAATCTCATCCACTAAAAATCAAAATAGGTAGTTTTGCATAACTAAAGTGAATGTAGAACTCAGCTGCACATTAAATTCCTTCTGAGTGGCAGGAAACAGGGAGATGTAAGCCAGAAGATAAAATAGCACATAGATAGGATGAATAGGTCTAGATTTCCAATACGTAACTTAAAGGTTACAGATCTTTTTAAAAATGTGTTGCATATATAATTCATGGTAAATGAGTATATTTTAGCTTATTATGCCATTAAAAATTAAACAACTGCTTGAAATTATGAAAATGCTTACTTGCATCAAAATGCAACCTTTGGGCCCAGTGTTGTAGCCTAGCAGCAACAGTCCTTACTTTGAACACAACGAGGATTCCATTTGGGCACCGGTTTGTGTCCCAGCAGCCCCATTTCCCATCCAGCTCCCTGCTTCTGGCCTGGGAAAGCAGTCGAGGACGGCCCAAAGTCTTGGGACCCTGCACCCATGTGGGAGACCCGGAAGAGGCTCCGATCTCCTGGCTTTGGATTGGCTCAGCTCCAACTATTGCAGCCACTTGGGAAATAAATCAATGGATGGAAGATCTTCCTCTCTGTCTCTCCTCCTCTCTGTATATCTGACTTTGCAATAAAAATTAATAAATCTTTAAAAACAAAAGTAACCTTTATACTGTCAATTTCTGTCCCATACCACCATGTTCTATCTAAATACACAGAATATTTACTTTTAAAATGCATTCTGTGAGATTACTTACTTCTGTCTCATAACTGTGCATAACAAAATTAAATAAATAAATAAACCTTCCTCTTTTTGCAATTTCAGCCACTTCTTGCTTCTAAACTGAGGATCCATGATACTTGTGGGGTCCATAATCTTCACGGCTTACCTGGCATACTCGGAGGCCTCGCAGGAATCGTGGCCGTAGCTATGGGAGTATCTAACACGTGAGTAAAAAAAAAAAGTGTGTTTTCTGTCCTCTCTGGTATTTTCACTTACTCTTTGAGATATACAACGTCGGGAATATTTTTGTTTTGTTTTAGCATCCAAAGCCACAGTCCAGAACCATTTTTTTTTTGTTGTTAGAGAACCAACAAAGTGCTACTGGGATATGTCCGAATACTATTCTTTTCACCTGTTTTGGGTTAACAGTGTAATTTAAATCTCCCGATCCAAGACAACTGTTTTCTAGCAGATAAGGCAAATCAATGATTATAGTCAGACTAAAATAGACTTACTCTCTACCTTAACCCTACCAAAACAGAGGATGGGCCACATGTAATTAATTTTAGCAATAACTTCCCTGCAACTCATGGGAAGGGAAAAGAAGTCGCTCAATCCAAGAAACGCTGGATCTAGAGTCTCAGACAGATTGGCACATGGGTCAGCTCGACTGCTAACTACCTGGAGGGCCTTCCATGTCTTACTCAGGCTCTCTGAATCCTAGATTCCTCATCTGAAAAATAAAACAATCATTCTATTTATTCTTTAAAATCCCTTCAAACTGTACCAAAATTATATTCTACCCAGGTGTGGGTGGGAATATAAATATTTATTTTAAAGGCTAGAGGTAAAGAGTTATCAATTAAATCTAGGGCAACAGAAGATGTGCCATAAGCTAGCAACCATCACTTTCAGCCAACAAAACTGGAGGTATCTTGTGCAAAATGTCACCAATGCTGAACATACAATCCAGGTCACTCAGCAAGTAATCAAAAAAGCACGAGAATGCTTGATTTTCAGTTCAATTGAAGTAGAAATTAAAGTGGAAAGTGTATCTAGAAATATCTTGGGAAGACCACTGACTAGAATTCCACAAGTTTAAACAAACAAAAAAAAAATCTTTGGAAGACTGAAATTGAACCATGTGGAACTATAATAACAAGTATTTTTTAAATCTACTTAATCATATTTTGTACTTGAGTAGAAAACTTACACGATTGACCCATTTCATTTATGTTTCCATTTTTGCTCCCTTCTGCAAATTTGAAGGACAACACCAGAGAAGTCCCACTTTTAAAGATGTTTTAAATTTTTCATTGAAAAGCGTATTAAACAAGAGAGAAGGAGAGAAAGAAAGATCTTCCATCTGCTGATATACTCCCCAACTGGCAGCAACACACCCAAAGCTGTGTTGATCTGAAGCCAGGAGCCAGGAGCCTCTTCTGTGTCTCCTACATGGGGGCAGGGTCCCAAGGCTTTAGGACATCCTGTGTTACTTTCCTAGGCCACAAGCAGGGAACAGGATGAAAAGCAGAGCAGCTGGGACACAAACCTGAGCGCATATGGATCCCTGCACTTATGAGTGGAGGACTAGCCAACTGAGCCATTTCACTAAGCCTGTAAGCTTGCTTTTTCAAAAAGTTCTCTTCATAACCTAATAGGCAACTTAAATTATTTTATAAGAATCAAATTTGCTGAAAGCACCCATCAATGAGTTTAGTCCTAGACATCAGAGTGTATACACACTGTTTTGATATACTAACAGATGCCTCCTCACCAAGGGTTCTTGAAATTCATACCTTGATTAATTGCATACATGCAACAAAGCAAGTCTGTGTGGCTCTGTAAGGCTGGTTCTCCTTGGCTTGGCCTCAGGGAAGTCTCAGCACTGAGGGTCTAATCCTTAGGTGTTGCAAGTGAAGCAACCCCTTCTTAGTTCATTTTGGGTAAAAAGAAGAGTGGTGGTAGGGGAAGGAGAGACGCCAAACCAGCAGGGATTATTCATATGCGTACAATTCATGCATTTTTCACAGCAAATAAAACACCATGTATGACAGCCAAGAAAATTCACATGTCTACTCAAAATATTAAAATGAAAAGCAGATATTTGCTGTTTGTACAACAATAGGAACACTTTAAGGGACATTTTTGCAATAACAAACTAGTTCTCCTAAGATATTTTACACTTTTTAAAAGATCTTAGCAATTTCCTATAATATTAAGAGGCCATTTCCTTAAGTAAAGAATAAGATAAATATTTATTATTAAATATCTGACTTTATCAGTAATCAAACAATACAAATTAAAACAAGTTACAGTGTTCATTTCAGAAATTGATAAAGATCATAATTCTGAATTGTGTTATAAGTAGAAAAAATAACAATGTAAAGTCTCCAATTCCTGTTTGGAGAAGCTCTTAAGAAGTATGTATAATCTTTACTGATTGTCTCATTTCTAAATAGGATTTATTTGAGGAAGAAATTGGACAAGTTCACAAGAATGCCCAGAGAAGAATGTATTTTTTAAAATAGGGAACAATGGGTCTGGCACAATGACTTAATGAGCTAATTCTCCCTTTCCAAACATCAGGATCCCATATGAGTTCAGTCAGGTTCATGTCCTGGCAGTTCTGCTTCCCACCCAGCTCCCTGCTTATAGCCCAGGAAAGCATCAGAGCATGATACAAAGTTTTGGGACCCTGCACACATATGGGTCTCCTGAAAGAAGCTCCTGACTTCAGATCAGCTCAGCTCCAGCCATAACAGCCATTTGGGGAGTGAACCAGCGGAGGAAGATCTTTCTCTTTGTCTCTCCTTCTCTCTATAAATCTGTCTTTTCAATGAAAATAAATAAGTCTTTAGATAAAAATAGAGATAAATGAGGCCACCTAAACACCATCCTATAGAATTACAATGATACACAGCATTGACACAGTGAATTGTTCTGTTGCAGTGCAAGCTATGATCCAGAACTCTATTTACTGACATAAAATGATAGAGAAGGCATGTTTGGGAACATATGGGAACCAGTGGATTGAGCTGCCAGTCGCATCTATCTTAGTGCTGATGTGGGTCCCAGCAACCACACCCAATCCAGCTTCTTGCAAATGCACCTAGGTGGATAACAATGGATGGTTCCAGTGCTCCAGCCCCTGCTACATTCCTGAGATAAGCAGGAATGGAGTTCAGTCTGGTTCAGCCCTAACTGTTGTGGCATTTTGGAGCTTACCAGGAGATGGAAGACTTCTTTCTCTTTGTTTCTCTGTCATTCTTGGTTTCAAATAAATAAATGTATACATATTTTCAAAAATTAATAGTAGTCACTATAGCCTAGCTAATTCTTATAAAAATAAGAAAATACATTTTTTCATAAATTTTATTTTACATTTTCACTTTGATGGGATTTTAGGGATAGCGAGCGCTTCCCTTGTTTTTGCTTATTTGGTTCTAGCATTTTTTAAATGACATCTGTTACCTAGGCAAATTTTATTCAGACAAAAATTTAAATCATTAGAAATAGAAAAAAAAAGAAGTCTGAATTTAGTACATCCTCTCCCTTGAATAGCAAGCCCATCCCACCAGTAAACTTCTTATTTTTCAAGGGTTTACTTTCTCAGAAGCACCAATTCACTCAATAACACTGGATTAATTGTCTGCTATGTTAGAGACAACATTATTGAGGAGAAGTCAGCACCTTCCTAGTTCATTTGGCAGTCATCATATTTGTATCATTTCCTTCCTTTTCCCAAATCATGTATTTGATATTTTGTTGTTATTGTTTTTGCTGCTTATTTTGTTTTTGTTTTACTGTTGTCAGTTTTACTGTCCTGCTTGCTAAGATGACTGTGACTGAAACATAAGTTTAATGAATCATCCATATAATCCATGCTGTAGTTAGCGTCTCTGAACTTTGAGAAGAGTCGAAGGTCATGCTGTTTGCACATTACTGTCGGTATTGGAGAGAAGCAGTAAAGATTTAGTGAAGAATCAGATTAGAAAATGGTATTCTGAGAGTGGTAAATCGTTTGTAGGGAAGCTGTTTCTGCTATTCTGAAGATTCAACAAAATTCAGCTTCTTGTTGATGTGTGCCTAAGTTGGATTAAAAGAAAATTAAAGAAAAAATAAAAAGAGCAAATGCTGGTAGTGTGCTCGTGTGTAATACCGTGCTTTGGTCTGAAGATGGCAGACGCCTATAAATCTCCGCATGTGAGATTCGCTGGCTGGTGTTCAAAAAAACAAGGTTCTGTTTGGTTTCACAGGTCCACCGTGGCAATGCAGGCAGCGGCACTGGGCTCGTCCATTGGAACAGCAGTTGTTGGAGGTCTGATTACAGGTCAGCTTAAAATGTGGACACTTTCCTCATGTTCTCAGTCTAAAACCCCAGCAACAACCCACTGCGTTGGTGAACTAGAAAATGTTCTAAACTTCTGGCAATGAAGTTAACTCTGACAGTTGAAGGCATGATTATGTAACAGCTTTCAGTTGCTATGGAGGCAAATTTATTCTTCCAGCATCATAACATGTCTTATTTTCCTTCGACCTTCGCAGGTTTAATTCTAAGCTTGCCCATCTGGGGACAGCCACAAGACCAGCACTGCTATGATGATTCTGTTTACTGGGAGGTATTGTACACCATTCTAAACAAGCATGAAAATGATGCCCAGTGTGTGAAAGTTTTGCTCACCCTAAAGCTTAGATCTCTAGTTGCATATGTATGCTGAAAACAGATATACTCTCAATAAATGCAAACAAAATAAAGCTAATATTTTCAGCCAGAAGGAGTTAAGCTACTATCCAGAACAGAATCTAACTAAAGGAAAAGATAGAATTTGTTCTCCAAACTGTCTTTTCCCTCCTCAGAGAACAATAGAAGAACTGCTCACAAATATAATAGGAAATCAGTGCAATAGAGTGGTCTATATAATTCAAAAAAATAGGTAAGAGCCAGTGAAATATATACGATAAAACTTTATGAATGCATACCCAGAAATGCTATGAAAAACTAAGCAGCTTCTCTTGCGTCCTCTAGTTTCTAGCTTTTCACTGCCTTGACTTTTTCTCCGAAAAGTATTTCTTGCAAAGCTTGACAAGGATAGATGCTTGGATGTTTTCTGCAGAATTTTCAGGAATATTGGGTTTGGGAGAAAAGAATTGTAGCTAGGATGATGAGATACATGTTTTGTTTTTACTTTTCCCAAACTCAAGTGATTTTTATCCCCAGTTCCAAGTTTGGATGATTATAAAGAAAATATCTTTCTCTCAATATTAACTTCTGTCAGGCCCAATTAAAGAACAATTAGGTGCTCAAAACTGCGTTCTTTGTAGGTTCCTCGGTGGAGAGAACATGACTATCACTTCCCTGGTCAAGGTGAGCACAGCGAGCTGGAACCTGAAGTCTAAGTGCAATGCCCGTGCCGCAAAACCCTCTCCAATAACGGCAGCATCCAAGTGTATATGCATCAATAGAACTCATATGTCCACTGTAAAAAAGTCCTTTGCCTGTTGCTATCTACAGATAGTGATTGTACTTAAAAAGAAAATGGCTCACAAAATAAGCATTAAAATGAATTCTATTCAGAATTTGTTTTGCAACTTTTGATGTCTATACCTGTGTTTCTACCAAGGTGAATCAATTTATATAGAAATCAATTCTCTAATTGTGTCTGTGTTTTCAATTCCAAAGACAATATAACTGACACTAATGAACGAACAATATATGTAAGAAATCTGTATAAGAAAAATGAAAATAATGCAAAGAAATCTATGTAAAAATGAAAGGAATGCATGTATACAGTGACGACTGGACACTGGACACTGCCTTTCCAGTTCTAAAGATGCCTTAACTAGAGGCCATCATTGTAGAGCGGAAGATTAACTCACAGCTTGCACTGCTGGCATCCCATAGCAGAGTGCTGGTTCTTGTCCCAGCTGCTCCATTTCTAATCCAGCTGCCTGTCAAAGTGCCTGGGAAACCAGTGATTGATGATCGAAGTGCTTGGGCCCTTGCCACCCAAGTGAGAGATCTCGATGCAGTCCCTGGCTCCTGGCTTCTGCTTGCTGCAGCCTTGGCCTTTGAGGCCACCTCTGAGTCAATCATCAGAGAGACATCTGTTTATTTTATCTCCCTAGCCGTTGCTCAACCTTAAATATACTCTAATTAGTAATGTTGCAACTTTGCTCAAACTTTCTTATTCTTAGTTCATTTTTGCATATTTAATCATTTGCAATGAGCTCAAATGTTATGTAATCAAAGTTTATTTTGTATAACATTTTAAAGAGTTAAAGGTCATTATAAAAGAAAATGTTCATATTTGATTTTGCCTTGTATCTGACTGTGGTAGTTAGAATTCAATATAGAAACAACTGCAGGTACACACCTTTACCCTATTACATGTACGCCTATGCTCGATCCAAATGTATTATTTATGTATGTGCTGTGAATATTAAGGCAACTAAGAAAAATGTTCTAACTGTATACGATAAGCCACAGAGAACTAAGTCTGAGCAGATAACTGACATATTTAAAAATAATTTCCAGGAAATATTAAATAACTTTTCCAATATCTGGTAGTGTTTAAGATTTTTCTTCTACTTATTGAATTCTGTAATGCTGCCAGGGTGTACATAGACACCGGGAAGGAAACCAATCCTACCACAATTAAAAGTACTTCAGTTTCTGAACGCTGCAACCTTGAAATTACAGTGAAGGTGATATTATTTTACCTTCTACAACTTGAAAATGATATAATTTTTGTAAATTATAAATATTTTTTTAATGTAGGTTAGTTTTAGTTTTTCTTGGAAAGTATATCAGGACCTCTTTCAAATCGGCTTTTTGATCAACAAGGTCCACTGTCCCATCTGTTGCTGGTCCTCACAAAAAAAGCACCTTTGTTCTTAAGATGTTGGAAGCCTTTGCCACCTGCTGATCATAAGGGAAATCTGGCAGTGTCTGCACACACGCAGGTTTCACAAAGGCCTTGTCATTTGATAGGCTGGCGAAATAAGTTGAGATGGTCATCGGTCTCATACTTGTGCCCATCCTCTCATGTACACCGCTACACTGCAGTTCATCCGAAATATAATGCTTTTATATTCTGTATTAGTGCTATGTTTCTCAAAATTATGTATTACCTTTTATATATCTTGTCTGATACTTAGAGAAACTTTCTGGTTTGAAATTTTGAGTCTTCTACTCAGAGATAAATTTTCCTCTACCATTTCATAAAATTTCTTCTCTATATGTTCATTTTTCTTTTTCTTGGACTTCTGTTATTCACATGGAAAGTCTGCTGGGTCAAATACCCAAGTCTGCTGTGTCCTCATCTTCATTCCATTAGCTCAACCCATGCACTCCTTTGAGTCATGTTTTGTGTTGTTTGTTGGAAATGATGATCCATTATTGTAGATGCACTAAATTTGTGAACACAGGTGAGCATGTGTGCACAGTTGTGTATGTGTAACATTTTACTCTTTTTAATTACTCTGGTAATCTTCTCTATTGGAGTTTCTATTTGTTTTTGAAGTTCAAAGTTTAATTCTTTTCTATGAATACTTAAGTAACATTAATGCATTATATATTCCCAAAACAATGCTATTGTGTGAATTGGTTAATCTGCTTAAAAATCTCAACCTCTGCTTACATGATCAGTTTCAGTAAGTTTTTGTTATTTGTTTCTGTCCAAATCTGAAAGGTTGGCCCTTAATTATTATCATTTTATAAATGATTGTTAACTTCAATAAAAGATGAGGTTCTGTCTGTTTCTCCACCTCTTGTTTCTACAGTCTTTTTTCTTTTTTAATAATACATTTATTTCTTTTTTTATGATATTTACATAGTTGAGAAGGACATATGCCCATATGGACCATTTAGAGTAGGAAGAGTTGATGAGTGGGGGAACAAGGTGAGACAACTGCCTCCAACCTCCTTTTATCTTTCTGTAACTAGGCTAAGTGGGGAATGAAGAGGAGAGGGCCTCTGTCAGTAGTCCAATGGCATCACCGCCTGGGAATTGTGGAAGGCCACCCAGTGTCATACCAGGGTCCCAGATGTGGAGCATGTTCTAAGAGTATTTACTACTTAAAATGTTTCCAATAGTTCTGAGATGCTATTGGTTTCATCGTTCCAAGGTTGAAGAAATCCTTCAAAGTTCCAATCTACCTTAGAGTCTCAGTTCATTGAGATACTTGTTGTCAAAGCTTGGCCAGGGGAGCTGTTCAGTTTGTTCTGCCCTACATGGTACTATACATCCTCTGCAGGCCTCAATGAACTGGTTGCCATGTCCCCATGCGCATCTGGGCATTCCATCCACTGAACAGGCTTTAGCAAAAAAAATGAGGCTTATTTCTGACAATAGCAATCCACAGTCAGAATACAGATCCTGTGATTTTCACCATGGTTGGAGTTTCTGAGTCCGGTGATTCAGTTGGGGAGTTCCCAAACGAAACTTCACCAGACTTGATTCCATGCCAGACAGCACAATGTCCGGTTTAGTTCATCACCCACATCAGCCTACGCACACACTTGCGGTTGCAGTTGCCAGTCATTTCTGTCCCCAGTTCCACACACTCAGCATCTATGAACATCAGTGCAAACTGCAGCAGACTTGAAGCAGCCGCCAATAACCCCATCAGCCCCACTCCCAGACTCAGTTCCTGTGTATACCATTATGTGCAGTAGGCTGGTCAGGTCTGTCCCACATCTCATTTGGCTCTCATACAGATCAGTGGGTGTTGGAGTCTAGCTCAACCCAACTGACCCCACCATCCAGCCCACACTCATGCCATCAGGTGCCACCACCTGTCCAGCCAGACACGCCCCCAGCTCTAGTTCTCATGCTCATAGTTGGGAGCTGCAGTATATCAGAGGAATACCCACAGTTTCTTTACTAGTCCCAATTCCAGCCCTGGATCTTGCACTTTCTGGGTTGTTCTGAAGTCTATCCAGATGAGAGTTACCCCCAGTACCAATACCCACTAACCTGTGCTGCATCAAAGCCCTACCAGCCTGTACTTACTCTGTCTCATGCCTGTACCAGTGGATATAGTCGTTTAGTCCAGCCTGACCCTCCTCCTAACCCAACTCACATGCAGGCCAATAGGTGTTGTAGCCCTGCCCAGTCTGGACAATCCCAACTTCCAGCTCTCACATTCACCAGTGGGAACAGTGGCCCAGCATGGGAGCCCCAACAACCTCCATACTGTGCTCACCACTGCCCCATCCCACCTCCAGGGTCTTACATGTGCTGGTGCGTGCTGCAGCGCAGTCTGGCATGGCTTTCCTCACTTTTGCATTTGTTGGTGGGCGTTCCAGCCTGTCTCAGCCAGTCTATTCCCAGTCCCAACTCAGGCTGTCTGGTATCACAGCTTAGCCCAGCCTAGACTGCTCCCAATCCCAGGTCTAACATGAACTGTCTGGTGTTGCAGCCCAACTCAGTCTGGCCTGCACCTTCTCTTGGTTCTCACATCTGCCACAAGGTGTTGTGAACTGGACCAGGCTGGCCTGCCCCCAGACTTGAGTTACATGTATGTCTGTGGATACTATAACCTGGTCTGGTCTGGACTACTCCCAGTGTTGATTCTTGCACTCTCCTCCAGAAACTGTCCTGACAAGAGAATTCTCATGTTTCTCTATCACATTACCTCCCTTGCTTACCAGTGTGTTCTTGGATCAGCGTGAATTAAGCCATCTCCTGTCCTTGCAGGTACAGCAGCCTGACCCAGTCAGCCCACACCCATTCTGATTGTTATAGCCTTGCATTACCTGGCATACCTCCAGACCCAGCTCTCACATGGTTCAGCAGGTGCAGAGACCTAGTCTAGGCTGTCCTACACCCACTCTGGCTCTTACAAATACCAACAAATGCTGGGGCCTATCCCAGTCAAGCACAACCCACACCCAGTCCACACTCATGCCAAAGGATGCTGTAGCCATGTCCATCCCAGTTTACTCTCCCCTCGATTCTGGCTTTTGTGCTCACTAGTGGGAACTGCAGAACAGCTAGGGTGTCCACTTAGCTCCCCAGCCAAACCTGCTCTCAACCGCTGATCTTTTATGTGCCAGTGTTTGCTCTCACAAAGCCCAACATAATCCATCACCCACCTTGGCATTGGTCATTGGATGCTGCAGCCTGGCTCTGCATGGCCCATGACCAGGCCCAACTCTCACTGGTAGGTGCTACAGCCTAGCCCTGCCTGGCTTGCCCCCATCCCTAACTTTTATGTAAACTGGTCGTTGTGATAGCCTAGCCTAATCTGATACAGTCCACACCCTATCCTGAGTTCCATGCATGCCAGTGTGCTATGTATGGTTTGGTCCAGCCCTGCCCAGTTTGCCCCCACACCCAGAGCCAACCCATATATCTGCCAAGTGAAGCAGCTCTACCCAACCTGGTCAACATCCAGCCCTGACTCACCTGTTCACCAGAGCGAGTGAGGGCCCACCAGGGAAACTCCCCAATTTCCCCAATAGGCCCACTTATAGATCCAGATCTCATGCATACCAGCAGATGGTAGGCCCTTACAAAAAGTCTGCCTCCCCCACCCCATCTCAGCCTTTGTGAGTGCTGGATAGATATTGT